TTTTTATCGATTATTAATGAAAATAACACTGTTTTTGTAAAAGGGGATAACCCTCCATACACATGATACATGATGGACCTGTTTAGGACACAAGGTTGCTTCCAAAACGCTTTAGACAACTTATTATACACTGTATTTAACATAATTACACACTCCCTAGCGTATGTAGTCTTAAATTAATTATCTGAAGACCCACTCCAAACAATAAAGACATGTAAACCAAACCAACATGCATATTCGTCAATAAAAATAAAATACTAGAGTATGTTTTAGCAACAGTTATCACTGTTTGCCACTAATGACGCATCGATAGTTATAATAAGTACGCGTATCCAACACCCTCATTCAATAAATGACCCTTACATAATAGTCGTTGAGGAGGAAAGCCTACCTAGTTTCCCCAGATAAAGGATCTCATAAATAAGTTTCTGAGCATGTATTTTATTTTCACCGCTCATCTGTCGAAGATCGTTAGCAACAACCTGACCAAAATCACTGTCTGCATCATTTATAATATTTTCGGAGGAAGATAATGACTGCAGGTGGTGGAGGGCCTCTTTCAGGATATTATCAGCATCGTCAGAAACCCTTTTGGTCGGTCGTTTACTTGTTGACGGTGTGGGTGAGGGTTCACGAGTATTTGATTCTGCAGCCGACGAGAGACAGTCGGCGTAGCCATACGAGAGACGGTGGGCGTGGCCGAACCAGTGACAGTGGCTGGTGGATTATCATCAAGTCCCAGCAGTAGCGGATCGTTGAATATCTATAAATAAAAAAAAATATACACAAGCCCTTTGTTAATAGTGACACACAAAAACATATACATACATATTACGTACATATTACGTACAAAACAGAGAGAGAGAGAGAGAGAGAGAGAGAGAGAGAGAGAGAGAGAGAGAGAGAGAGAGAGAGAGAGAGAGAGAGAGAGAGAACACGCTTGCATACGTACCTCGTGATCAGAATGTACCTCAGACATCTCTTCTGTAGTGTGAGTATCCATGTTTGACACAGATTGTCGAATTGTGTCACCATCAATGAGGAAATGCAGTGCATCAAAGCACCATAATGTGGGAATATAAATGTCCTCAGTTCCAGCTCCAGACTTTTTTTCTTCTTGCATCTTTCTTAGTTCCCGTCTATGCTGATTTCGAAGTGATTCAATTTTTCTCTTCACATCACTTGTGGTAACTGTAGTCCCGCTTCTACTCATGTCCTCTGTAATCTGTCTCAGTGCCGCTGCACGTGTGTCCCTATCCCTGTACATGTCCACTTTGACATTCTATAGACAAGGGTGCTGACGATAGAGTTCAATCAACACCATGGTCTCTTCTCTAGACCAATGAATGTTTCCTTGGTCTGTGGCGGACGGAGGAACAGACATTTTCCAGTGGTGACTTGTGGCGAGATTGAAAAACTGGCAACCAGGGTTCCAAGGTTAACTTTGTTTGTCTGGCATGGTCGTCCATCCATACCCGGCAGCAAACGGTCAAACCACCAGGCAGACGGCCTTATCTGGTGATTTCGCTCGAACGCTGGCACGGGCACTTCGTTGGTTTGCCCGTCAATTTTGCCCGAACAACTAGCATTAAGCGAGTGCCGGTCGGGCAGTGCTCGATCGTGTGGACGGGGCTTTACAGTCACCAAAGAGATGCTCTAACAGTCACCAAAGAGATGCTCTAACAGAGTTATGAAGGGATTGCCCTGTCGTGAAAGGGCTGCTCTAACAGTCATCAATGGGCCGCTCTAATAGTCATCAAAGGTCTGCTCTAACAGTCATCACGGGGATGCTCTAACTGAGTTATGAAGAAGGTTGCTCTGTCGTGAAAGGGCTGCTCTAACAGTCATCAAATGGCTGCTCTAACAGTCATCAAAGGGCTGCGCTAACAGAGTCATGAAGCGATTGCTCACTCGTGAAAGGGCTGTTGTAACAGTCATCACGGGGATGCTCTAACAGAGTTATGAAGGGGTTGCTCTAACAGTTCTGAATGGGATGTTCTAACAGCGTGATGAACGGGATGCTCTAACAATCATGAAGGGGCTGCTCTAAAATTCATGAAGGGGCTGCAATAACAGTCATGAAGGAATTGATCTGTCTTGATGGGGCTGCTCTAACATTCTTGAAGGGGCTGCTCTAACAGAGTTATGAGGGAGTTGATCTAACAGAGTAATGAAGGGGCTGCTCGAACAGATTTTTTAAGGGATTGTTCTAACAGTCATGAGGGGGCTGCTCTAACAGACTCATAAAGGGGCTGTTCTAACAGAATTATGAAGAGGCTGCTCTAATAGTCATGAAGAGGCTGTTCCAACAGAGTTAGGGAGGGATTACACTATCTTGAAGGGGCTGCTCAAACAGAGTCATGAAGGGATCGCTCTTACAGTCATGAAGGGGCTGCTCTAACATAGTCATAAAGGGGCTACTCTAACAGAATTTTGAAGGGGCTGCTAAAATAGTCATGAAGGGGTTGCTCTAACAGAGTCATGAAACGGCTCTTCTAACAGAGATATGGGGCGGTTGATCGAACTGAATTATGAGGGGGCTGCTAACAGTCGTAAAGGGGATGATATAATGAAGTTATGAAGGGGGTGGTCTAACAGATTTATGAATGGACTGCTCTAACAGTCATCAATGAGCTGCTGTAACAGAGTTATGAAGGGGCTGCTCTAAGAGTCATCAAGGAGCTGTTGTAACAGAGTCATGAATGGGCTGCTCTAACAATCAAGAAGGGGCTGCTCCAACAAAGACATGAAGAAGCTGCTCTAACAGTCATAAAGGGGCTGCTCTACCAGAATTATGAAAGGGCTGTCTAACAATCATGAAGGGGCTGGTCTAAAAGAGTTATGAAGGAATTACTCTGTCATGAAGGGGCTGCCCTGACAGTCATGAAAAGGCTGCTCTATCAGATTCATGAAGGGGCTGCTCTAACAATCGTGAATGGGCTCTTCTAACAGAGTAATGAAGAGGATGCTCTAACAGTCATGAAAGGACTGCTCCAAGAGAGTAATAAAGGCTCTGATTTAACAGTCATGAAGAGGGTGCTCTAACAGAGTCATGAACCGGTTACTCTAACAGAGCTTTGAAGGGATTGTTATTAACAGTCATGAAGGGGCTTCTCTAAAAGAGTTATGAAGGGGCTGCTCTAACACAGTCATAAAGGGGCTACTCTAACAGCGTTTTGAAGGGACTGATCTAACAGGCAAGAAGTGGCTACTCTAACAGTCAATGAAGGGACTGCTATAACAGTCATGAAGGGGCTGCTCTAACAGAGTAATGACGGGGCTACTCTTATAGAGCCACGAAGCGGCTTCTCTAACAGAATTATGAAGGGATTGCTCGAACAGTCATGAAGGGACAACTCTAACAGGGATATGAAGGAGCTGATCTGACTGAATTATGAAGGGGCTATTTTAACGGAGTTATGAAGGGATTGCTCTAACAGAGTCATGAAGAGGCTGTTCTAACAGCATTATGAAGGGATTGTTCTTTCATGAAGGGGCTGCTCTAGCAGTCATAAGGAGTCTGCTCCAACAGAGTCATGAAGGGGCTGCTCTACCAATCATGAAGGGGATGTTCAACCAGTCATTAAGGGGCTGCTCTAACAGAGTAATGAAGGATTATCTAACAGTTATGAAGGGGCTGTTCTAACAGAGTAATGAAGAGGCTGCTTTAACAGAGATATGAAGGGTGATCTAACAGTCATGAAGGGGCTGCTCCAACAGAGATATGAAGAGCTGATCTAACAGTCATGAAGACGCTGCTCTAACAGAGTAATAAAGGAACTGCTCTAACAGAGATATGCAGGACTGATCTAGCAGTCATGAAGGGCTGTTCTAACAGAGTTATGAAGAGGCTGCTTTATCAGAGACATCAAGGGGCTGCTCTAACAAGGTCATGAAGGGGCTGCTCTACCAGATTTATGAAGGGGCTACTCTATCAAAGTTTTGAAGGGATTGTTTTAACAGTCAAGAAGGAGCTGTTCTAACAGTTAAGAAGGGGCTGCTCTAACAGTCATGATGGGGCTGCTCTAACAGTCATGAAGCAGCTGCTCTAACAGAATTATGAAGGGGCTGCTCTAACAGTGTCATGAAGGGGCTGCTCTAACAGACTTATGAAGGGGCTGCTCTAATAGAGTAATAAAGAGCTGCTCTAACAGGGTTTTGAAGGGATTGATCTATCAGTCATGAAAGGGCTGCTTTAATAGAATCATGAAGGGGCTACTCTAATAGAGTTTTGATAGGATTGTTCTAACAGTCATGAAAGAGCGGCTCTAAGAGTCATGATAGGGCTGCTCTATCAGTCATGAAGGGGCTGATCCAACAGAGTTATGAAGGGATTGCTCTAACAGTAATGAAGAGACTGCTCACTAACTCCATCACAAAAAAAAACTAAGTAAAAAGTATAATAAGCAGCACTATGTAAATATACCAATACTAATATAAAGGTTTGACGACCCAAGGGAGCAAAGCAAACATAAAAACACAATACAAAGGATGAAGCGATCTGGTTGAGCCCAGATTCTTTCTACTCCTACTGTATTTCAGTTTCACCACTTTTCTTCAATCCCTAATAATCTTCTTTCACCTCATAACTCATGACTCCAATGCCAATGTGTGGTCACCTCAGGTGAGGTCATGTAATTCACCCCCAGACGTGATACCCCTTCTCTCAGGTGCCTTTTCAAACAATCAAAGTTATTGTACTTAGCGTAAGTGACTACGAGTAAATATTTAAAGGTCAGAAGTGTTCGGTAGTTTGAAAATTTGAAGATGAATTTTTAATATAAGTTTTATACAATATTTATATAAAATGTAATATCCAGTATTATTCAACATAAAGGATATTATACATTTCTTCATACGATAATTTTCTATTATGAATTTTAGTAAGCCAATGTGAAAGAAACAAAATGGGGTGTGATCAATGTAGCTTTGAGTGGAAACATCCGGGAGAGAGAAGATATACACAGGAGCTCGTCCCTATATCACCTCACTATTGTACCACCACCAGCACTCACGAGATGAACCCCTCCTGTCTACTGCTTCTTCTAGCTGTGAGTATCTTGGTGTCTTTTACCATCGTGGGTGAGGAGAATTTGTTCTTAATCTACAGTTGTTAATGACAACATATTGTAAACAGTTTCCTTTCATCAATTATTGTTAAATTTGGAAGGATTCATATGTGTTCTTATACCCATTTCGAATTAGAATGCGAAAAGTATTTTAATCTTTAACTTATTCGCTTGAGTATTACTCATTTCAGTAAATTTATGCAGTTTATTGAATTTTGTGCGTTTTGTGGGGTTGTTGCTATTGTTGTTATAATGTTATTAAAGCACTTCAAAACTAAGGTCCTTAACCGCGTAACAAGGTTAGTAATACAATTATAAGAAATTACAAAATTATAAGTGATAAAACTCTTTGTTGATAAAATGTAAGGTGTAGCCGTAACCTCCTTTGACTGTTACTTGTAAAACATACTTCTTAAATTTCTGATTAATTTTCTGTCTCAGTGAGAAGTATTAGATTTGATGATACATTTTATTTTAATAATGACCTTCCTGACGTTTATTATGGATCATGTTACTATATCAGGTGTGTTTCACCCTACAGGTGGAGACCGCCTCGGCCCAGTTGTTGGTCAGTCCTCCCTCTCGTGAATGTCGAGAACTGGTAAGTAGAAGTTGAATATTCTTAATTAAATAATCTCTTGGGTATATTTGTCTTTTTAAAGATGATAAAACAGTGGTCCTAATATAGTCCCATGTGTGATATGATAATGGCGTTGTGTTTCAGGGAGTCATGGCTGGGGAAGTCAAGGAACGTAAACCTCTTCCCAAGTATGACGCTGGAGAGGTTTGTGAGCCACAGATGCTGTATAGCCTCTTTATGACTGTTAGAACAGCCCCTTCATGAAAGAGTAATCCCTTCATTACGCTGTTAGAACAGCCGCTTAATGACACTGTTAGAGCAACCCCTACATAATTCTGTTAGAGCAGCCTTATGATTACTGTTAGAACAGCCCCTTCATAACTGTTAGAAAAAATCCCTTTATAACTCTATTAGAGCTGCCCCTTCATGAGTCTGCTACGGCAATCTCTTCATAACTCTGTTAGAGTAGCCCTTCATGACTGATAGAGCAGCCCCTTCATAACTTTGTTAGAGTACCCCCTTCATGACTCTGTTAGAGCAGCCTCTTCATGACTGTTTGAGCAGCCCATTCATGACAAAGATATCCCTTCATGATGCTGTTAGAACAGCCCCTTCATGACTCTGTTAGAACAAAACCTTCAAAACTCTGTTAGAATAGCCTCTTTATGATTGTGTTAGAGCAGCCCCTTCATAATTCTGTTGGAACAGCCCCTACATAACGGTTAGAAGAGTCCCTTCAAAACTCTGTTAGAGTAGCCCCTCATGACTCTGTTAGAACAGCCACTTCATGACTGTTAGATCAGCCCCTTCATATATCTCTTAGAGCAGCCTCTTCATGACTCTGTTAGAGCAGTCCCTTCATGATTGTTAGAGCAGCCTCTTCATAATTCTTAGAGCAACCCTTTCATGAATCTGTTAGAGCAGCCCCTTCATGACCATTGGAACAAAACCTTCAAAATACTGTTAGACTAGCCCCTTCATGACTCTGTTAGACCAGCCACTTCATGACTGTCAAACAATCCCTTCAAAACTCTCAGGGTAGCCCCTTCATCACTCTGTTAGAGCAGCCTCTTCATTACTCTGTTAGAGTAGCCCCTTTATGACTGTTAGAGCAGCCCCTTCATGACTCTGTTAGAACAAAACCTTCAAAACTCTGGTAGAATAGCCTCTTTATGACTGTGTTAGAGCAGCCCCTTCATAATTCTGTTGGAACAGCCCCTACATAACGGTTAGAAGAGTCCCTTCAAAACTCTGTTAGAGTAGCCCCTCATGACTCTGTTAGAACAGCCACTTCATGACTGTTAGATCAGCCCCTTCACATATCTCTTAGAGCAGCCTCTTCATGACTCTGTTAGAGCAGTCCCTTCATGATTGTTAGAGCAGCCTCTTCATAATTCTTAGAGCAACCCTTTCATGAATCTGTTAGAGCAGCCCCTTCATGACTGATAGAACAATCCCTTCAAAATACTGTTAGACTAGCCCCTTCATGACTCTGTTAGACCAGCCACTTCATGACTGTCAAACAATCCCTTCAAAACTCTCAGGGTAGCCCCTTCATCACTCTGTTAGAGCAGCCTCTTCATTACTCTGTTAAAGTAGCCCCTTTATGACTGTTAGAGCAGCCCCTTCATAACTCTGTTAGAGTAATTCTTTCATACCACTGTTAGAGCAGTCCCTTGATTACTGTGAGAGCAGCCCCTTCATAACCCTGTTAAAGAAACAGATTGAAGACTCTGCTAGAGCAGCCCCTTCACACCTCTGCTAGAGCAGCCTCTCCGTGACTGTTAGAACAGCCACTCCATAAATGTTATATCAGCCCCTTCCTATCTCTGTTAGAGCAATCTCTTCATGACCCTGTTAGAGCAGCCCCTGCATGACTTTTAGAGCAGCCCTTTTATGACAGAGTAATCCCTTCATGATGCTGTTAGAACAGCCCCTTCATAACTATGTTAGAGCAGCCCCTTCATAACCCTTTTAGAGCAGCCCCTTCATGACTGTTAGATTAGCCTCTTCATATATCTGTTAAAGCAGCCTCTTCATGACTCTATTAGAGCAATCCCTTCATTATTCTGTGAGATCAGCCCCTTTATAACTTTCTTGGAGCAGTATCTTCATGACTGTTAGAGCAGCCTCTTCATTACTCTGTTAGAACAGCTCCTTCATGAAAGAGTAATCCCGTCATTACTCTTTTAGAACAGCCCCTTCATGACTTTAGACAGCCTCTTCATAATTCTGTTAGTGCAGCCCCTTTATGACTGTTAGAGCAGCTTCTCCATGTCTTTGTTAGAGCAGCCCCTTCATAACTCTGATAGAACACAATTTAAATAATGAGTTGTTTAATGCACAAAGGCAGAACATACCATACAAAAAACTCAGATCAGACAACAATGACCCTAAATAGATAAATAATTATTTAAAGAACATTATTGGCCAATGGAAGGCTATAGGTAGAAGGATAAACAGTGGCGAAATTTATCTCCGGGAGTATTATAAGGTAGTGGCCGATAGGGTTAAGACCGAGATAAGAAAAGCAAAGAGGAATAATGAACTGAAGATAGCAAGGGAGGCGAAGACAAAACCCAAAGGGTTCTACCAAATGTATCAAACTAAAACACGAGATAAGATTGGACCAATACAGTCAGATACCGGCGAGCTAAATGATAACGACGGAGAAATGAGCAATAATCTGAATAAATATTTTTCAACAGTTTTCACCACCGAAAATTTAAACATGATACCCAAGGCTCCAACTCTATTTAGAGATAGTGAAGAAAACAAATTAAGCGAGATAGTAGTGACTAGTAAAGATGTTAGTAAGCAAATAGACAAACGAAGCCTAATAAGTCACCTGGTCCCGATGAGATATTTGCCAGAGTATTAAAGGAATGTAAGGAAGAGCTTAGTATGCCCTTAGCTAAGTTGTTTAACATGTCATTAAAAACAGATGTAGTACCAGAATCCTGGAGGATAGCGAATGTAATACCGATTTTCAAGAAGGGGATAGATCACTATCCTCTAACTACCGCCCAATCAGTCTCGCATCAATAGTAAGCAAATAACAAGAATCAATCATTTCAAACTCTATTCGAAACCACCTGGAGAAGCACAGATTGATCAATGATTCCCAGCATGGCTTCGCAAGCGGACGTTCTTGTCTAACCAATCTATTAACATTCTTTTCATCAGTTTTCGAATCGGTGGACGAGGGGCACAATTATGATGTGGTATATCTCGATTTTTGCAAACCCTTCGACAGAGTAACCCACGAAAGACTAATTAGAAAGGTAGAAGAACATGGCAACAAAGGTAATATCCTTAAATGGATTAGGGCCTGGTTATGGGACAGGAAACAGCGAGTGAGCATAAACAGCACTAAATCGCACTGGAGCAACGTCACTAGTGGCGTTCCCTAAGGGTCAGTACTTGGACCATTATTATTTATTATATACATAAACGACATAGATATCGGCATAGACAGCAACATAATTAAATTTGCTGATGACACTAAAATAGGACATGTAATTAAATCTGACGAGGACTCTGCAAAACTACAGGAAGATCTAAACAAATTTTTCGAATGGTCGGAAAAATGGCAGATGAAAATCAATGTGGACAAATGTAAAGTACTCAGTATAGGAGATGTAAACAGGGAAACCAGTTACCAGATGAACAACGATGCCATTGTGGAATCCGAATGTGAGAGAGATTTAGGAGTAATGATTAGTAGGAATCTTAAGCCAAGTAAACAATGTGTTTTTGCTCGTAACAAGGTTAATAAAGTACTTGGGTTCATACAAAGGAATGTTAGTTACAAGACTAGCGAGGTCATCTTAAAATTATCTAGGGCTTGTGAGACCTCACCTGGATTACGCAGTTCAGTTCTGGTCACCGTATTACAGAATGGATATAGAATCCTTGGAAAGAATCCAGAGGAGAATGACAAGACTAATCCCGGGCATAAGGAACCTTGAGTACAGAGACAGGTTAAAGCATCTTAATTTGCACTCCCTCGAGAGAGGTAGAGTGAGGGGCGACATGATAGAGGTGTATAAATGGAAGTCAGGGTTAAACAAAGGGGACATTACAATGGTACTCAAACTATCAAACCAGGAGCAAACTCGTAACAATGGTTTTAAATTAGACAAATTTAGATTTCGGCGTGAAATAGGTAAACACTGGTTTGGAAACAGAGTAGTGAATGAATGGAACAAGTTACCAAATATCATCATTAACTCGAATTCGCTGGATAGCTTCAAACATAGGTTGGATGCTTATATGAGCAATAGGGGTTGGGTATAAAGGGGACTGCTCAGTATGGGTCAATAGGCCCCCTGCAGTTTCCTCAATTCTTATGTTCTTATGTTCTTATGTTAACACCCCTTGATGACTCTTAGAGCAGCCCTTCATAACTCTATTATAGCAGCCCCTTCATAATTCAGTTAGATCAGCCGCTTCATAACTCTGTTAGATTAGCCGTTTCATGACTCTGTTAGAGCAACCCCTTCATGACTGTTTTAGCAACCCCTTCAAAGCTCTGTTAGAATAGTCCCTTTATGACTGTCTTAAGAGCTGTACCTCCATAATTCTGTTAGAGCTGTACCTTCATAACTCTGTTAGAACAGCTTCTTCATGTCTGTTAGAGCAGCCTCTTCATAATTCAGTTAGAGCACCCCTTGATGACTGTTATAGCAGCACCTTCATAGCTCTGTTAGAGCAGCCCCGCCATTACCTTGTAAGAGAAGCCCCTTCATGACTGTTAGAACAATCCCTTCAAAAATCTGTTAGAGTAGCCCCTTCATTACTCTATTAAAGCAGCCCCTTCATGACTCTTAGATCACTCCGTTCAAAAATATGTTAGAGTAGCCCCTTCATATCTCTGTTAGAGCAGCCTCTTTATAACTATGTTAGATCTATCCCTTCATTACTCTGTTAGATTTGCCCCTTCATAACTCTGTTAGAGCAGCCCCTTCATGGGATGTTAGAGCAGCCCGAATCAAGACAGAGCAATTCCTTCATGACACTGTTAGAGCAGTCCCTTCATTGTTAGAACAGCCCCTTGATGACTTAGAGATCAGCCCCTTCATAGCTTTTTAGAGCATCCCTTGATGACTGTTAGAGATGCCCCTTTATGACTGTTAGAGCAGCCTTTGATGACTGATGGAGTAGCCCCTTTATAACTCTGTTAGAGCAGCCCGTTAATGACT